CCAATGAGTGTTTGGGGATCACTTAAGAAGCATGAGTGATTGATTCAGAGGCAGCAGAATCACTGGCAAGCTCATCCAGCATGGAATGTGTTCCTAGAGCTCCCTTCACTACTTACAGGCAGCCCCATTGAAGTCCCCTTTTCTCCAGCGATTGTTTACTGCTTATATAACCTTGGAGAGGGGCCTTGTGATTCTTATAACTTTTGTGAAGTTCTTGAGCCTCTTTTATGATTGATTCCTGAGTCTTATGAGCCTCCCACCTCCCTCCAGAAGGGAATGTTTCAATTCAGAGGATAAATAGCTATACAACAACAGTACAAAATGCAGTGGTTTCAGTATCAGCCTCTGACGCCCTTGATGGCATTGGGTAGGCTGGCAAAATTTCAAGGTCTTGTTTGGATATATGAAATGAGAGTATTGGGCTACCTGGAAAGATTTAAGTTCCTTTTATTAGCAGAATTCTCTAATACTATATATTATGGCATGATGTCAGAATTTTTTATTGTAGAGGATTTAAGCATTCACAGAAGTAGATATAGCAGTAAAATGAATATACTAGGACCCATGAAGCAACCCCAAAACTCATCCCCCTGTTACCAATCATACCTCTCTGGACTTAGATCTACTTATTACTTTCCTCTATTGTTTTAAACAAATCCTAGACACTAGATTCTCTTTAATAGTATGATTCCTCTCCTGTTCATGTTGTTAGCACCTTCAGGTACTGAAAATTTTTAACAAGCCTTCAAAGTACTTGCCTTGTTACTTCTTTGATTTTTGTTTTTTCAAATATTATTTTTATTTTATCTGTATGAGTGTATTGCCTGCGTGCATGTAAGTTTACGCATGTTGTGCAATGCCAGCTGAGGTCAGAAGAAGGGTGTCGACTATAACATAAGAGCATTTCAAGCTATGTTCTCATAGTAAAACAAATAAGAGAGAGTGTGTATTTGCCTATATGCTAGCAAATTACTGCCTATTGTAGATGGGGAAGGAACTGTGGAGCCAGCAGGGAAGGACCGAAAGGAAACATTTTTTTTTAACTTTTACAGAAACTTTATTGAGAATTTCATACATGCATATAAGGTGTTTTGATCAAATCCGTGCCCACTCTCTCCCCTCCAACACCTCCCATATCTCCCTATCACTTTTTTCTTTTTCTTTTTTGTTTTCTCCTTTTATGTATTTATTTTTATGGGGCTTTCAGCTACTCTGACATTCCCCCCTCTGAAGATGTAACCCTAAAAACTTTTAAGGTTTGTATACAATCTCCAAGATATTTTTGATATTTTTGGCCTTTGGAACAGAGTATGTTGCTAAGAGGCCCAAGGACATTTTTACAATGCTCTTTTTTATACTTTCTATATTTGAATATGCAAAATATAATTTTTATTATATCTAAAAAAAAATAAATAAAGAAGGTGTCGAATTCCCTGGAACTAGAGTTACAGACAGTTGTTAGCTGCTATGTGGATGCTGAGAATCAAACCTGGGTCCTCTGTAAGAACAGCCAGTGCTCTTAACTGCTGAGCCATCTCTCAAGCCTCTGCTTTTTATTTTTTAATTGAAAACTTTGAAGTAACTATAGAGTCACACATGCAGAGCAAAAAGTAATCAGAAAGATCCCATGTACCTTTTATTCAATTTCTTCCAGCAATAATTTCTTGTGAAACTTCAGTGAACAACTGAAAAACTGACAGTGATATAAACTGATGTTGCTCAGATGTCCAGTTTTACAAGTGTACTCATGGTGTACTCGTGTGTGTATGCAGTGTCATCACAAATATGTATATAACTGTATCTACAAGCACAGGAAAGATAACTGTCAGTGAGAACAGTGAGTGAACTGAGACTTTTTAGTGGGCTCTCCATGAAGCATGTTTGTCCCCTCCATCTTATTTCATGAACTTCGTAACTGTTCAGGGAATCTGAATCTATACCTACTCAGTTATCAATTGTAAATAGTTAGTGTCTACCCAGCACATTCTTGAGTTTTTAATTTGCGTGTGTGTGAAGGACATTCTATCAAAAAAAAAAAGTTATCTTCTTTAGCAAGGCTGAGTCTCTTGGGTAATCTGTTTCTTTAGTTTTCTGCAGAAATCAAAGAATACCTTAGAATCAGTATGTTCTTACTAGTTGCACAATGATGGGGCTGGGGAGATGGCTAAGTGAGTATGAACACTTGCTCTGCAAGCATAAAGCTCTGTCTTCACATCCCCAGCACACCACAAATATGCCAGGCATGTGTGGGCCTATAAACCTAGTATGGAAGATAGGCACGTCCCAGGAAATCCCTGGGCAGCCATGTTTAGTGAGAGACCCTGTCTCAAGGCAGTAAGGCAGACAGTGATAAAAGCACTCATCCTGCTCTTCTGCATGTGTGCATTTGGGCATGTGCACCCACACACTTATGTGCATGCACCACCACACACATACAACACACATGCACACATATCTCTTTTCCACCCTTCACCTGCTTTCCATTAAACCATGATGTATAAAATGGTCCTAGAATTTTTTTACTTATTGTGCTGGATAGCTTTAGTGCCAACTTGACACACCTGGGTTGAGGGAGCCTCAATCGGGAAATTGCCTCTATTGGACTGGCCTGTGGCCATGTCTGAAGGGCATCTTCTTGATGAGGGATGTGGGAGGGCCCAGCCCACTGTGAGTGGTGCCACCCCTGGGCAGGTGGGCCTGTGTTGCATAAGAAAGCAGGCTGAGCAGGGGCCAAGGGAGCAAGCCTGTAAGCAGCATTCCTCCATGGCCTGTGCTCCAGCTCCTGCCTCCAGGTTCCTGCCCTGAGTTCCTACCTTGGGCTCCCTGATGAACTGTGTGCGACCTGGGAGATGTAAGACAAATAAACCCTTTCCTCCCCAAGTTGGTACTGGTCAGAGTGTTTTGTCACAGTAATGAAGAAACAACCAAGACACTTATTTTACTTATTTTTTGCCATCATCTGCCATGTCAGTGTGGACTTAATGTCTTCACTATATGCCATTGCAGAGCTATATCATATAGCAGGCTTTATTTTTTTAAATATTTTCCTATTGCCATTTTAGGGTGATTATATATTCTCTTCTGCTACAAATGAAGTTGCAATGAATATCATAGCTTCTGTGTCCTTACACAGCTCTGTTTTCTATGGCACAGAATTCTAACAGTGAAACCACTGTCTCAAAGAGTATGTACATGTTGAAATTCAAGAGACACTAACAGTCTGTTCGCAATAGAAGACTGTATTATGAGCAAATGTGCCCAAGACTCCACCTCTTCAAGGCTCTTACCACCTCCAGATAATAGATGGGCTCATACCCAGCCTTCCAAATGTGGCCTTTGGGGGATTTTAAGATCAAAACCATAACACCAAGTTATAATGTTGAGAAAGGAGAAAAAGTTATAAATGTGAATTAACTTAGTTGTGGACCAAAGAGAAAGAATGTACTTAAAAGAATTACTGTAACAAATCTTGATGATCATGGCTAAAATTAAAAAACAAATGATCAGGGAAACCTTTTTCTTGCTACTGAATTGTCTGTATCTGGGATATTTCATTAAATGATTTCTTTCTGGTTGTGTAATTCATTGTATTTAATTGATAGTGTTTACAGGTGTTTAGTGAAAACTGTTTTGAAAATACCTCCCATTGTGATTTATCCATTGTAGTGTCTCCCCAGTGAACTGACTATGAGTGGGAAATTAGTAAAGGAGATACAGATCTGGAAAGCAGTCCCAACTTTATTTATCTCCACAGGCAACCTTATTTCATATTGATAAAGTTTGCAATCTTCCCCGTAGTTCTTTCTGATTGTTCATTGTTGCTGTTACAGTTTTAATGAGAAGTTCAAATGAGCCAAACCCACTTCTTCATTCTTTCTCCTAATTTAATTTCAAAGGAAATTCTTTGGTCCAAATAAATAAATACATGTGGATGGACCCAGACATCCTGATTCAATACATCCAATTAATTGCTTTTAAACATTAAACTATATTCTTTTTTCTTTCTTTTTTTAAATTTTTTATTTATTTATTTTTATTTTTTGGTCTTTTTGAGACAGGGTCTTTCTGTAGCCCCAGCTGGCCTTGAACTCACTATGTAGACCAGGCTGGCCTTGAACTCACAGAGCTCTGCCTGCCTCTGACTCCTGAGTGCTGGGATTAAAGGTGTGCACCACCTCGCTCAGCTTTAAGCTACATTCTTACACCTCCATGCATAATAAAAGAGACAATTCAGCCAGTGAAGAATAATTAGGTGAGAAATGAAAGGATTTCCACCATTTCTGCTTACAAAATCTTGTCTAACTTAACATTAATATTTGAAAACCATGCACCCAGTAAACAGTATAAAAGTGCAGAGGAAAAAAGCTACTTCTGGCTACTCTATTATAAATCAAGATTTATTGTCAAGCTCTACCAAAGGTAGCACAATACTGGGGAAAACAGAATCACCTCAGGATTTGAAATTTACTGAACAAACTCAACCTCTTGCAAAATAACTTTCTTATTCAAAATAGAACTAGGAATTGTTCAGCATACAATGAATCATCTTTGGGCAAGTACAATAGAATCTTTAGGGGCATCTTACAGCCTCTATCTAATTGTTAGGATGTCTTTAGCTTTCACAGGTAAGGAAAAAGGCTGCTTGTATAGCTATCATCTTGTTGCTAAAATTATACAGAAAGATAATTTTACAGTTGCTGTTGTAATAGATTTTTTTTTCTGTTTTTTTTCTTCTCCCCATCTTGTTTCTTTGCCCAGAGCTGCTTTGACTCCCAAAAACCAATCTGGAATTACTTAGTGCTAATGTTTTCTGGTTTTACTGTTTGCCCGGGACTTAATGTTAAGCATTGGTATGGGTAACTCCCTTTTCCTTACCTCATTCAGAGCCGTATATTTATTTAACTGTTATTTTGCAAGAAGAAAATTTCATCTTTCCCTCTCCATGTTAGCACATTTTTGTTTATTGACAAACAGTTTGATTTTGTTTTTGTTTTTTTCAGGAAGCTTTAGAGCTACCCTTGGATGATTCTGAAGTGCCCGGGTCTACAGCAGCATCTGAAGTGATTAAGTATGAGTATCACGTCTTATATTCCTGTAGTTACCAAGTGCCGGTTCTTTACTTTAGGGCAAGCTTTTTAGGTAAGACCGTGTCTAAAGCTAAAACTAAATTAATAACATTTACATATAAGGCAGAAAGCATATTTGGAAAATGATTTTTGAGAGGAAAAAATAGAGTTAAAAATAAGAAAGCTGTGGGTGAGGTAAGGTTCTACCAATAAAATTTCTCAAGCTTCAGAAAGCGACTCAAGACTTCACAGTGAATGATATCATCCCAAAATCTGATCTTCAGATTTTTGGCCTCTTGCCTGAAATTGACTCAGCCCTGTGGCCCTTCTTCTTTGCTTTAAACAAGTAGGAACAACTTGAAGCTGCAGTGTTTATTTACTTCCAACTTTATAGTAAAAAATTTCTTTTGATCTCACGTGATCCCATTAACTCAAAAGCTCCAAAGCCTCCTGTACCAAGAGCTAATGATTATTTCAGAAAATGTTTATCATTTACCTAAGGTACATTTTAAAACAGCACTAACATTTTCTTTGGCCATCTATACATCTTGAATGCCTTAGCTTCCTGTAATGCTGTTACCTCATTCTCCTGCCAAGAAGGTGGAACACCCTGTCTCTTCATAGACCTCTGCTAATAAAGCCTATTTAATTGGCAGCCACATGGTGTCCTCCCCCTGAAACTCAGGGGGACACTTCTTTCTGAATAGCCACTAGCTATACCAGGTCAGCATAGGGATAACTTGCTGTCTTGGCTCCAAGACCATGTAGAGCCCCATGCCCAACCCACCCCTTCTCCTATGTCTCCTTTTAGATGTGGCTTTATCAGTAGTATTTTGCATTTGGAGCAGTCTTCTAAACTTCTGGATAGCCAAGATACCTGAATTTAGCCAATGATATTTCATTTTTAATTAAAAAGTAGCTTAAGCTGCTCTGAATGTGTATTTGGTGGATTTAATCACTTGCTGCCTTATATTGTTTAATGGTCTCTAATTTTGCAGTGCTGGCAGTTTAATAAGCACTTAGGATCTAAAACAAGAACAAATTCTTACTGACTCCCTGGTGAGAAGATTTTAATCTGAGATGCAGTTCCTAAGAACTGACAATTTGGGGTAAATTTTCAACCTGGGACATGAGGAGTTGAGGACATTGATAGTTTACTAACTCTCCAACTCTTGCTGCAGATTAATCTGTGATTATTACAAGCCTTTAAGCATTCACTTTATTGTAATTATATTTGATTTGGAGCCCAAAAGTTAAAGGAGATTTCTTGTCAGTGAGCTATGCTGTGTCCTCAAAAGTGGGAGATATACTTATTAAATGGGGTGGGGTGACAGGGAATGTCTTTCTTGGATCTAGTTTGCAATGACTCTACCTAACACCTTATAGATTCAAAGACAAACTGAGGCTGCAGGTAGAAGAGATGGGACACTACCACTTCATACTGTACTTTCATATAATTAGTATTCACCATGAGCAGTTAATCACCAGAGAAGAGCTCCAAGAGACAAAACAAGTTGTTTAGCTTGTCAGCATTAGGAAATCAGAGGTGTTGAAACATGACTGCTTCTAGCTAGAAGTGGGTCGTGCTGAGGCTGGCAGGTGAGCTCATACTGGTGCTTTGCTCTTAATGTGCCAACAGCTCCCCTTACAGCACAGCACAGTAATTGTTCCTGCAAGTCCAATTATATTTTAATGGCATTAGGATACTTCCTACAGTCCTTTCTTCATGATGATTTTATTCCTTAAAACATACATGCACAACTAGCATTCTTTGGCTCTATTTATATATTTTTAACATACTCTTCATTTGTAGTTGATTAAAAAAAAAAAACCAGGAAGGTCATTTATTTTACGTGGAAACATCTTCCCCGTTTCTTATTCTGTCTATAGAATAGCTTTGTGTTTTATATTTATTTTAGTCCAGAGTTCATTTAGTACTTGTTTAGGCACATTAAAATATCAAATTTATTTTTATAAAGCATGTTGAAATGTTTTCTTGTAGAGAAACATGAAAATGGCTATCAGTTTAATAATTTATTTTTCTTTTTTATCTAACCTAAATTCATAGCTAGTTTAAAAATGTATCATCCTGCACACAGGAGTCACAAGTTTTCATTTATTCCCCCCCAGTGTACCCCTTTTCCATTGCTCTCTGGCTAACCTGGCTGTTGATGGCTGTTAAATCTCTGCAGTGTGTTGAGTGGGATTCCTGTGTCCTCCTCTCGTTCTAGGCCCAGAGTTTTCTTTGTCTTGTTCTAAGAGCATTCAAACCTAGAAAGAAGACAATTGTATTATTAGACATTTAGAGGGTTTTTTTGCATCTGTTAGTAAAAATTAATTTCTCTGCTTCACTTGGATTAAGTGGTTCCCATTTAAATTGACATTGCCCTTTTATCAACTGGGTTATATTTCTTCTGGAATCTGTTCTATTTCTTGAAATGCAAAACCACTGGACTAAGAGTTCCTTTTATTCTTCTGTATGATGCAGTATCTGTCAGGCAACTGCTTCCCAAGAAGAGCATGCCGCCCACCCTTGTTACTCCCATATCTCGTATTGCATGCCCTGTCACATCATGGCGTCACCTAACAAGTTGCACTGTAATGAAATTATCTGTTTGTTTGTCCCCTGTTAGATGATTCTAGAAGGTATAAAAAGTGCTGACAGAAATGAAAGTTTGATTGCCTACAAAGTGTGAAGCATTGTTTTTGGCTTTGTGTGATTCTTTATGGCATTATATAAAACATACAGTCATGACTTGTGTTAACTGATTTTGTTACAATATCAACTCTGAGAAAGCATCAACAAATACTTGTTGAATAAATCAATAGTGAAGAATCCCCAGTCATATCTAAATATAGTCAAAAGACTAAACACGATGGTGGGCCTGCTTTAACTGCTTTGATAGGTTATAAGGAAGAAGTAATGCTGTCGTCTCCAAGAGACCTAGGATCAAACCATGTATGTCTTTACTGTTTAATCTAATACCTCTCAGACACTACAGAAATAGTAGACTAAGAAAAATGCAACATCTGAGGACTCAAAGCAGGCATCCAAACTAGTCAAGCAACTGTTCTGTCTCTATAAATGTATATTTTTATTTGATTCGTGAAAGTAGACAGCCAGGTTCAGATAGCATTTAACTTCTGCATGTGTCTCATTTATATTACTTAGGACCATAGGAGCTCAGTTCTTCCCCTCCCTTCCTCCTCCTCTTTTTCTCTTCTTCCTCCTTCATCCTCCTCTTCCTCCTCCTCCTTCTCATCATTTATAGAGACAGAGTCTCACTCTGTAGCCCAGGCTGTCCTCAAATTCACAGGCCTCATGCCACAGTCTCCCAAATGCTGGATTCAGCGTATGCACCAGCCATGTCCACCCATGAGCTTAGTTCCCAAGGAAGTAGCATAGATTTAAGGGAAGAAGTAAGTCCTTTTCAGTGTTCTGTTTTTCTCTGTTTTTGTCAGTGCAAATGTAAGAGAGGTGGCAGGGCATGGTCAATATCATTTGACACCCAGCAATAGCTAAGACATCCTGCTCTTTCTGTTGAGAAGCTATAATTGTAAAAATATATAGAGAATATATTTGAATAGTACTTCATAGCTTATGAAGTCCATTCCCTGCATAGCACTGACATTGTCAAGTATATGTTGTTAGATTTTATTGTTTTTACACTTTTACCCTTTTTCTTTATTATTTGATAGTGCTGAAAATTGAACCAAAGGCCTTTATGCTAGTTATGTGCTCTACCACAAAGCTATATTCCCAGCCATGCCCACTGTGAAGAATACTGTTTGTTATTTGTATCATAACAAAACCTCCTTTCCTCATCATTTTTATTGTAGTGAACTTTTTATGTCTCATTTTTCCATTGATGGATTTTGCTTTGATCCAAAGCTGGTGACAGATGGCAAATGTTAGAAATGTGCCTTACAATATATA